GAAAGCTGGAAAAGGAGGGAGTTCGGCATGCTCTGAGCAGCAGAGTCCCTCTTTGGCTCTTGGAGCCAGAGGCGGTCTTCTGGGACTGGGAAGAATTTTTTCTGGCATTTCCCCTCCTAGGAATTTACCTTAGAGAAATGACAGCGTGCTTACACATACAAGCTGTGTTCATACTTGCCACAAACTGGAAACAAGCCAGTGTCCACCAGTTTATGAATAAAGATAATCATGTATTGGTTTATCTGTATAATGGAATACTACTTGACAGTAAAAAAAGGAATGAACATTCATTGACTTTCATCTCTTATGAGAAGTTACAGAATTAACACACAAAAGACTGCGTGTATGATTCCTTGTACATGACATGGCAGCATTGAGAAAACATAGGGAACAAAACAGATGAGTTGTTTGCAGTGTTGGGTGTGGGAAGAGGGAACTGATACAGAGCACAAGGGAACTTTTTTTGGTATGCAGGTATCTGTGTCATCGTGTGGTAACAGCTATCAAAATTTATAAAGCTAATATGAATGACTGTATTTATATTACATATCAGTAATCCTAGATTAAAAAAATAATCCCATGTTTTCAAAATATTAATTATATCTAATGCAGAGTATGGCACTGTACATACTTGGTGATGAGAGCTCTGTTGCTGATGAAGCTTCCCAGTATTTATCCAGAATAACTACAGGTAAGACCATGTATCGTTAGGTGTCCTAGGACAGAGTTTTATAAAGTGATATGTGAAAAATAAAAATGTAAATGTTTACTCTAGAGGTCATGCTTTCCCTCTTAGGCCAACTAGCACTGTTCTAATCTACAGGGCAGAACTGATGTTCAGATACCAGGGTTACTTAAACCGAACAGATCTTTTATTTTTGGTGTGGTTATATAAAGGACTATTTAAGTCAGAAATGATTAGACTCCTCAACCTGCCAGAGCACTACTTATTTCATTTGTTTATTTATTTATTTTTTTCCGTTAGTGAGTGACTGAGAGTGAGAGAGTGAGGCAGTGAGTGAGTGAGAGTGAGTTACTGAGAGAGAGTGAGGCAGTGAGTGAGTGAGGCAGTGAGAGTGAGACAGACAGTGGGAGAGTGAGGCAGTGAGTGAGGGAGGCAGTGTGAGACAGTGAGGGAGTGAGAGAGTGAGTCTTCATTTGTTTATTTTTTAAGGAGATATTTGATCATGAATTCTTATGTCTAAATGTGTTCCATATATTCTGTATTTTCTTCATCTTGATATTCATAATATATAATGATAATAATATTCCATTTTGTTTCCTTTTAGCTCCCCCAAAGCTGCAAACAGAGCAAGAGGAAAGCAGGTGACTTTTATTCAGACTGTACTTTTATTTAGAAAATATAAAATAATCCTATCTTTTACTGATTGCTTCTGTTAATAACTCTCCATTTTGTTCGATTGTAGACTTAACTTCAAGCATTCTACATCAGTTTCTAGCCTGGCTGAAAAATTAGTTGTTTGGATGACCAATGTAGGTAAGTCTTTGTTACTTTTTGTATCGCCTGGAAGTGAGCATGAGAAGCAATTCTCCTTTCACCTTGGACACCCTGCAACTCAGCTGGGCTTTCCCCTAGAATGGGAGGTTTGAGGAGAGGGTCTCTGTTTCCCAAAGGTTCCACAGAGTTGAGATTACAGTCCCATCAGATCCCTTTCTTGACAGGCTCACAACTTCAATGCAGGAATTTTTGGTGTACCAGTGTTAGCTCTTCGTGGTTAAGAAGAACTGTTTATGCCTTCCATCTTAGACAGTTGAAGGTTGTGTCTTGTGGGTTGCCCTCAGAATGGAGCACTCCACCACTGAGCATCCGGACACACAAATGGCTATTTCTGACAAAATCTAAAAGGACTCTTCTTAACATTCCGGAGTGTTCTTTGCAGGATGTAAGTCAAAGATATTTGGCTGGGAAAAAGGGAAAGGGAGGAAAAAGCTCTTGTGTTAGTCCAGTTAGACGAGAGAAACAAATTCATAGACACTCATGTGTGTATAAAAAAGAGCTTTATATACAAGAGGAGTTGAATATTGAGAAAACATCCCAGCCCAGTCCAGATCAAGTCCCTAAGTCTGATATTAGCCCATATGACCGATACCAATCTATACAGGCCTCTTTAGACTAATGAAACACATGCAACGATGCCGAATGCAGGGCAGTCACAGGCCAGTGGCTGCAAAGTATTGTGGAGCCATTGGCAGTAGAAGCATCTCAGCAGGGGTCTCCACATGGCTCCTCCAGTTCCTAGGGCATGGGGTCTGTCAGCATCGTGCCATGTGTCTTGTTAGTAGAACGTCTCTTGGAGTGAGGAGAGAGAGAGCGTCTCCCACCTCCAAGGAGGAAAATACAGGAGTTCCCAGAATTCTCAGGAGACGGCATGCCCACACAGAGGCCTTATTGGCTATGATCCGACTGACAGACTAGACTCCAACCCTTCACTCTTAATCCTCTCAAGTCCCAAATTAGTACCAGATTATGTAACCACCACAGCTCTTTATTCTCCAAGCCTGCGCTCTTAAGTTTTAAAGAGTGAATACTGAAGAACATATTTTCAGGAATCTTTTCAAAAAGAAAAATGAAATGAAAAAAATAAAATGAAAAATTACTCATAAAGAAATGAAAATGTCATACATTAGTATGTGAATGTTTTAGTGAATATTACAAGACATTTTCAAATGCTGTCCAAAGAATTTTCTAAATGACTTAGTTCTTCATAGGTCATTTTTGAATTGCCACATTTGAAACCTAGTTGTCATAGAGAGGTGTAGAATACCTGTGCTTTGAAAATGATGGTCGAGTTTTATCCATTTGTATATCATGTATCTAATGAAAGTATGATTTTAAGGAATCATATAAAGGAATGTTTATCAATAATCAATTTTTTAATATTAATGTATCTCACTTACTGTCATGAAGTCGATTCTGATTCAGAGCCGCCTTGTAGGACAGAGTAGAACTGCCCCTGTGCGTTTCCAAGACTAACTCTTTTTAAAAAATTTTAAACAGTTTTATTGGCACTTTATCCACATATCATACAATTCAGTAGTTAATCATATCAATAAGAGTTGTACAATTTTTACCACAATCAATTTTAGAACATTTTCTTTTTCCCTGTACTCATTGTTATTCATCTCTTTTTTTTCTTCCAATTTTGGCAAAAAATATACACAACAAAGCATGCACCAATTCAACAACTTCTAGATGTGTAATTCAGAGACTGTAACTCTTATAGGAGTAGAAAGCCTCATTTGTCTCCCGAGGAGCTGCTGGTGGTTTTGAATTGCTGACCTTGCATTTATCAACCCAGGGAGTAACCACCACTACCACCAGGAATCCTTATATTAATATATAATACTGTGCAATTTAGAAAATCATGACATGAAAAATAAATTTCAGTTAAACCGAGGATTCAAAATAGTTTAAATGTGAAATATGTTAAATATACTAAAAAAATCTGTAAAACATACATGTTTAGTAATCAAACCAAACTAAACTGCTGGCTTCAAGTTGATTCCAACTAATAGTGACCCTGTGTAGAGTTTATGAGACTATAAATCTTTATGGGAACAAACAGCCTCATATTTTTTCCAGTGGAAAGGCTAGTGGGTTTGAACTGCTGACCTTGTAGTTAGCAGCTTATGCCTGACCCACAGCACATATACTCGTCACCTATATACAGAAACAGAATATGACCAGTGTAGCTAAAGGCACCTGTGTATATGTTCTTAGGTGGTATCCTCTTTCTACATATCCTCATTGCTATAGGCAAGCACTGCTCTGAGTATCTATTTAGTGCTTAGCGTTGAATATTTTTGAACTTTATGTACCTGTATAGAGGTATAAATATGCGTTCTTCTGTTTTATTTGTTCAACATTATTTTAAAAGATTCATCCATGTGGATTTACTTACATGGCAGTCATTTTTACTGTTGCGTAATATTCCATTGTTTGACTACAGCACAATCTGCCCATTCTACTGATAATAGACAGTTTTGTCACAATGAAGCAATGTTGCTAATTAATATTTAAATATTTGTGTTCTGGTTCACACTTACACAGGTTTCTCTGGCTATTGAGGGGTGGGCCAAAGGGTTAGACCTGTCTGTGCATGTTTTACCTTACTGGGTAATGCCGTTGCTTCCACAGTGGGTGTACCAGTTTACACAGCTGTGCCGTAGATAAGAATTCCTGTTGCTTTACATAGATGCCAACATTTGATATCGCTTGACCTTAGCATTTGTCTGTCAACTAGATGAGCATCTAATTTGCACTTCTCTCACCACTCATTAGGTAGTGCCTCTTTTTATATGTTAAATCTCGCCTATTATAATTCTGGGAAATATGTTCTTTTTTTTTAATATATTCTTTCCTTTGTGTTTTTTACCCTAGAGCAGCAGTTCTCAACCTTCCTAATGCTGCAACCCTTTGATACAGTTCCTCATGTTGTGGGGCTCCCCCAACCATAACATTATTTTCATTGCTACTTCATAACTGTCATTTTGCTACTGTTATGAATCGGGCGACCCCTGTGAAAGGGTTGGTCAACCCCCAAAGGGGACGTGACCCAGAGGTTGAGGACTGCTGCCCTAGAGGATTTGTCTTTATCTTGAGGTTTTTAGGAGCTCTACATATATTTGAACATTAATCCTTTTGGAATTTTTAAAAAGTCTTTTTGTTAATCCTTAATGTCAAGTCACTTGGTAGCATAATTAATAAAGTATATTCCCTTTCTTATTTGTCAGGATTGATGTTTGCTAACTTTAGTCAGGAAGGTAACGGACTCAGCTCACTCACTGCCATTGAGCTGATGCAGACACACAGTGACCCTAGAGGCAGAGTGGAACTGCCCCCGTGGGTGTCTGAGCCGGTAACGCTTTACGGGAATAGAAAGTCACTTCCTTCTCCCAGAATTGTGACAGTGGTACATTGAAGTTACAGAAAATTCTCTTTCCTCCTTTAACCTTAAGGATTCACTTTAAGAGATTTGGAGACCCTTCCCTTTGGAATTGCACTTCCCATCAGAGATGCAATTTATCACTGCCGTGAGCATCCTGCCTCAGACTGGCCAGAAGCTGTCTGTCTCTTGATTGGGCGTCAGGATCTTTCCAAGCAGGCCTGCGAAGGAAACTTACCCAAAGGGAAATCTGTGAGTATCCACTTAGAACGTTCGAAGTTCAGTTTTAGTCTTAAAAATGTTGTTCATTTTCCTTTGAGTCTTTCTGCAAGTATATATAAGAGATTGCATTATATAGTGTATGCCAGATGGGTTTGTAATTGGACAAATCTTAGTGATTGTCAATGCAAACAGATTTAATGAGTGCTCTGTCCTGGCTGGGCTTTTCTTGACTCTTGAGTCAGGATAAACACTGATTCAGTAAAGAAACTAATAAGTCTTATTTCTCTGCTTGAACAACATGTTAGCAATGAAACTGTTTAAACCAGTTGAAGCCAGGCGCTGTTGAGTATGTTCTGACTGGCAGTTAACCCAGGTGTGGTACATCACAGTATCTCCATAAAAGTTTTCATTGCTGACTTTTTTGTAAATAGAGCTCTAGCATTTTCTTTTCAGACACCTCTGGATGGACCTGAACCTGTACTGGTATTTAGCAGCCAAGCACATGGACATGCACCATTCAGGAACAATAGGAATTATTATATAGAAAAGATAAGGCAGGGATGTCCTGAAGCTGAGCAGTTAAAATATAACTATTTTCTCTTTCTTTTCATTTATTTTATATTTATTTTACTGTATATACATTTACTACAAAAACTAGGGGCCCTTTTCAGCATAAAAATGCTGAAAAAACTTGGCTTATACTCAAGTATATACGGTAATTCTACTTTGTGAATATATATGTAGCACAGGATGTATATACAATTTCATCCATTTCTGTATGTCCAGATCAGTGATACTTATACTCTTCAGATGATTTAAGCATTTTTTTAAAATCATTTTTTTGGGGGCTCTTACAGCTCTTATCACAATCCATATAGTATACATCCACTGTGTCAAGCAAATTTGTAAATATGTTGCCATCATCATTCTCAAAACATTTTCTTTCTACTTGAGCCCTTGGTATCAGCTCATTTCCCTCCTCCCCCGTCTTCCCTTCCTGTTGAACCCTTAATAATTTACAGTTATTATTTTTTCATGTCTTACACTGACTGATGTTTCCCTTCACCCACTATTCTGTTGTCTGTCCCCCTGGTAGTAGGGGATTATATGTAGATCATTGTGATCCATTCACCCTTTCTCCCCGCACCTTCTCCTTATCCCCCTGGTATCGCTACTCTCATTATTGGTCCCGAGGAGTTTTTCTATCCTGAATTCCTTGTGTTTCCAGCTCTTATCTGTACCAGTGTACATGCTCTGGTCTAGCCGGATTTGTAAGGTAGAATTGGGGTCATGATAGTTGGGGGGAGGAAGCACTAAAGAACTAGAGGAAAGTTGTATGTTTCATCGGTGCTACACTGCACCCTGACTCCTCGTTGGTATAACCATCCTTGATATCCATTTCCAAATTGTTCTGCCACCATCAGTGTATATTCACTGCCCTCTTAACTTTTCATTTAACCTTTCCAGGTGCTGATATGAATTTGCTCCCCTAGAGAGAAATCTTTGTAAGAGCACAGTGCTAAAGGCAGAAATACTTTACTAAGCTATGCTGTTGTCTTTCATAGTTTAAGAGAAACCTTCTAAAAAAGGTATAAGCATATCTGTTTAACCCCATAAAACTGAGACCCATGAAAAGATTTTTTTTTGCACCTGAATTATTTAGATGAAGTCTTAAATTATATCCCCTGAAATAAATCTTTGAATCTGTGTTTGCAATGATGAATTAGCTGTAAGAGGCCTACAGAGTGAAATTACCTCCCCTCTACAAAAACCTGCCACCTTTAAAACATTTTGAAGCATCTTTTAGAACTGTAACAGGAGCCCTGGTGGTGGTGTGGTTATATGTTGGGCTGTGATCTGTGTGATCGCATGTTTAGCTGTTCAAAATCACCAGCTGCTTTGCGGGAGAGACTGGCTTTCTACTCCATAAACAGTTACAGTCTTGGAAACCCATCAGGGGTTGCTGTGAGGTAGCATTGACTGGATGGCAGTGAGTTTAGGACTTTAGTTCACCTTTTAAAGAGAAGTGGGGGCGCTGCATTACCCTGAGGATGGAGGAGTCTTCCGGGATGGTTCTTGCATCCTGATGACTCTTCTCCTTTGTTCATGACCCTGCCAAAACTGGAAACTTGGCAACTTGTGCTGTTGATCCCATCTTCTGTGGACGGCACACTTGGTGCTATTAGTGCTTCTTTAGCATGTAAAACTTATTTCTAACACTGGAGTTCTGCTGTGAACTTGTGACATCAGCCATCTCCCTAAGGATCCTTCTTCTGCAGGAATGTCCCAGCATACTTCTCTTTTAGTTTGTATCTAAAAAACAACTCTTAGTTTGATTAGTTTCTGCCCGTTTTCAAACAAAACCAATGTTTTATGCAAATAGCATCCTTTCCTTGACCAAGAAAAGTCTAAACATTTGGATCTCCTTTGTTACTATTTGAGAGAACAGTTTAATTCATTAGCAAAGGAAAGAGGGAATTGATTACAAGGAACTATATGTGACCTCCTCCCTGGGGGATGGACAACAGAAAAGTGGGTGAAGGGAGATGTCGGGACAGGGCAAGATATCACAAAATAACAATTTATAAACTATCAAGGGCTCATGAGGGGAGGGGGGAGCGAGGAGGGAGGGGAAAAATGAGGACCTAATGCTGGGGGTTTAAGTGGAGAGAAAAATGTTTGGCAATGAATGTACAAATACGCTTTACACAATTGATATGTGTATGGATTGTGATAAGAGTTGTATGAGCCCCTAATAAAATGATTTAAAAAAAAAAGATTAGAACATTGTAATTAATAATATTGTTCCTTTTGATGTTGTCACCAGGATGTTACTATTTTTGTCTTATTAACCAGGATGTTATCATCAATGCTGTTTCCTGTAATGCTCACTAATTCTAAAGAATAATAATATTAATTTTGCTTTCTGCTTCTGTCCATGCTTGCTTAAGTCCTAGACACATGATAAATGAGTTTTCCTTTAAAGATGGACTGAATTATCCACTCGGGACTGCAATAAGGGGTAGTTTGTAGATTCTCCCAGTCCAGTTATAGCAGAATAAAAGACTCTTCTAAATGTAAAAAAAAAAAAAGAATATAGTAAAACTTAAAAAAGTCGGAACCTGTGTAAGGCAGAAACTTGTCAGAGAAGGAACGCTTCTATTTACCACTAGAACCAATGATAGGAAAGCGCCAAGAGGGTACCTTCTCAAAGATGGAAAGCTGGAGAGACCTGGGAAAGTCAGACCAGTTGAGTTCTGGCTCGCATAGATTTCATTGATACTTATTCACCAGCAGACAAATATAATTAAAAAAAAAACCATTTTATTAGGGGCTCGTACAACTCTTTATCATAATTCATACATCCATCCATTGTGTCAAGCATATTTGTACATTTGTTTCCCTCATCATTCTCAAATCATTTGCTTTCTACTTGAGCCCTTGGTACAGCTCCTCATTTTTTCCCCTCCCTCCCCCACCTTCCCTCCTCCCTCATGAACCCTTGATAATTTATAAATTATTATTACCTTGTCATGCCTTACACCATCTGACGTCTCCCTTCACCCACTTCTCCACTGTCTGACCCCCAGGGAGGAGATTATATGTAGATCCTTGTAATCTGTTCCCCCTTTCTCCCTCACCTTCCCTCCACCCTCCCGTATAAATGTAATTTGAAGTAAACATGTCTAAAGTAAATTTGTTTAGTTTTTTGAGGCTACAGCTTATTATTAATCCCATATAAATTTTGCCTGTTGACCAAATTGTTCTACCACCAGCAGTGGTAGATCTATATTTTATATTTAACTCACTTATTACAAATTAGTGCCTTTCAAAATTAGGTATTCTATGGGAACAGTGCATTTTTCTGAAATAAGTGATTGTCTGGTATTATCTGCCCTCTCTTCGCCCTCTCCCCTGCCCCTTTTTGCAGGGTAAAGTAGTTGCTTTCATGTTAAATGATACAAAATTGTAGCATTTTTCAATTAAGAGTCAATATTTTGTAAAGTTTTACAATATTTTGTAAAACTGAGCGAGAGAGAGATTCCGTGTAATTCACATTTATGCTGAAGGCTGATTGAAACATTAAGACTAGGAAGCCTCATATAAAACGTGTGCTGAGTTTAGGCCTACAGATGGCATTTAAGGAATTAATTTTCCTCATCTGTTTAGTTGCATGTTAGTCCTTCCCTTAAAAAACAAAGAGCATTTATTACCTCTTAAAGAGAAATCCAATACTTACCATTTTTTGGTTTAAGCTACTGTGTAAAGCAAGAAATTACTACCTGATCTATTCAACTTCTTGATGTGTACCCTCCAGAAACTGGCCTTATGCTTCTCTAGTCATCGACAGAGATAGTTTGTTAGTCAGTGCGCTCTACAGTGATTGGGGCGCATGGTCCATTTGCAGTGTTGCTTTGTTTCCTTTTCAAAATGACTAGGACAAAGGTATATTTCTACAATAAATTTTATACTATTTCTCTGAAAGGATTTACCCTGATGATGATTGTCCTGTTTTTCTCATTCACTGCATAAAGAATGTTGCCAAGTGGAAAATATTCTACTTTTGAAAAAGATTTCCATCTTAAGATCCAGTATACATTGTGAGCCCAGCCTGCCTCTGCTTTGGAAGGTATTTGTAGTTGGTCCTGGAGCCCAAGAGCATAATGTTGGGAGTCAGACTTGCTGCTGCTGAGCCCCTTCCTCATTCCTTCCCCTCTCTACGACAAATGAAAGGTTTGCACAATGACAAATTGTCATGGCCAGACATGAAAAATGATAGTGACAGATTATAGTATATGACTTTTACTCTGAACTGAAATTTACAGAAACTCAATATGCATGATTTTGAAGGTTGACAAACCCTTCTTAATAGGTAAAGAATATGGAAAAATCCGGAATTTTAGGGTGCCAGTTCTAGGGGCAGCCTTTCTTTCTCTCTTAACTCGGGGAAATTCCTTGTCATCAGCCTTTCCCTCTGAGTTTCTTAATCTAGGGACACTGAGTCCAAAGGACGAGCTGTGTGCCTGACTCTTCTTGGTGGTAGGAACTCTATCTTTCTACTCCCAGTTGACTCAAGATATAACCTAATTATGTAGATTTATATGTAGAGTAACTTAACTACCACTCATCCTGCCTCATTAACATCACAGAAGTTACAGTTTATAACAGGATAATCACATCACATCACAAAATGAAGATACATAATGCTGAGTTTTCATGGCCTAGACAAATTGACACATTATTTTTTTTTTGGTGGTGGCCAGGCGATTCAGTCCACATTAGGTATTTAATTAATATGAGCATACCTATTCTGTCCAGTGGAAGCAAGGAGAGAAGCCAGTTAGAGAATAGCTTAAATTAGAGTGGTAACGAAGGAATGAGAAGTGGTTGGAGTGGGGATATTTGGAGGTAGAGTGTACCCACCTCACTTTTTTAATCCTTGTCTTACGAGAGGAGGAAGCGGTAGGCCATAGCCTTGGCTGTTGTGTGGATTGGAGTGCCGTGGGGAACAATCATTTAAGTGGCTTGTTAATATGTGGACTTAATTTTTTTCCTTTAATTCTAGTTGAGATCTAAGTATTTTTCTTTTTCTAAGTATTTTTCATAGGATATAAAAGCAAGGCTCCCTCACCCCTACTTCTTAACTGCTTTAAGTAATTTTATATATTAAGTGATATATAGTACTCTGAACTGAGAACTGAGCTTTTATCTTTTGAGAGCTGTGTAAGTTTATAAGCTTCTTTGAATGTTTGTAAGTACATTTGTACTTATGTGACTATCTGTGTACAGGTTTAAGTGTATTCCTCTGTTGGTTCAATTTGTTTGAAGACTCTTGATAAATATTTACTTGCTTTGACTATAAGACAAATGGAGAGAATTATCTGATTGATTTGTTTAGCTTTGGTTCAGAAGTAAAGAAAAAGTTTTCCTAGAAAATATGAGGAAATACCCCCCAAAAAAACGGGAAAAAAACTCTGCTGGGGGGAGCTTTCATAGTATGTATTTGCTAGGTGAACATCGAGCAACTTGCTCTGATTAGTGCACCCAATGGCATCTTCTGGGAAAGTCCTCTCTGGTCACAGTGAATTTTTTTGTAAAAGCAGTTTCGCTCGAACCTTGTTTTTTGTGATAGGCGTTTTAAGTGAACAATGTGCCGCTGTGAAATTTTATTTCCAACTCGGGGAAAAATGCCACAGAAACTGTTGTGATGCTGAATCTAGCTTATAAGGACAGCACTATGGGACAAACTTGATGACAAACCTCATCTGGACCTCCCAAATGAATGAAATGTCAACAAAATTCATCCACTTGTACTTGAAGACCAACAATAGACTATTGAAGAGATGGGGAAGTTATTTGGACTATATTGGAGCGTGGTTCAGCGACTTTTAACAGAAGCATTGGAAATGAGAAGGGTCCCTGCAAAATGTGTGCTGTGGGTTATGACTGACCAGGAAAAAGAGTGTTCAGTGGAAACATGCCATGCTCTGAAAGGACAGCTCCAAAGTGACCCGTAATTTTTTCCCAAGGCCATTACTGGTAATGAGGCATGGTGTTATTCTTATGACCCCAACCCTGAAAGCAAACATCAATCAAGCCAGTGGAAGACGCCATCATCTCCTCTTCGGAAAAAAAAGCTCATCAAATGAAATCATAGATCAAGAAGATGCTCATTTATTTTCTTGATGTGAGGGGGATAGTTCATTTGGAATTCTTTCCACCAGGTCAGACTAATCAAGCTTTCTATTTAGAAGTTCTGAAAAGATTGTGTAACAGTATGCGACAAAGAAGGCTTGAATTGTGGCAGACGGGACAGGTTTTGCCACCATTACAATTTACCTGCTTACGCAGCCATCTCATTGCACCAGTTTTTGGAAAAAAAACAGCATGCCTTTCTTGCCCCATGCACCTGACTCACATGACCTCACTCAGTGTGACTTCTTTTTGTTTCCTTAAATGAAGAAGGACATGAAGGGACAATGATTTTAGAAGAGGTGAAGAAAAAAGTGAAGGAGTTGCCATCTGCTATTCAAGCAAATGAGTTTGAAAAATGTTTCCAGGAATGGAATCGCAGATTTGACAAATGTATTAAGTGTAATGGAGAGTACTTTGAAGGTGATAAAGGTTTTAAGAAAATATTTAAATACATAGTGTGTTAATGTGGGTAGACTAGAGAAACAAATCCATAAACACGCATATGTATAGAAGGGAGAGGTTTATGTACAAGAGGAATTGAACATTGAGTATATATCCCAACCCAGTCGAGTCCCAGGCCAAGTCTGATATTAGCCCATATGTCCGATAGCAACCTATAAAGTCCTCCTCAGACTCAGGAAACACATGCAACGAAGCCAGATGCAGGAAGATAACGAGCCAGTGGGGAGAAAGTCTTTGGGTCCATTGGCATTGTAAGCATCTCATCGCCGGCAGGGGTCTCTCTCTGGCTTCTCCGGCTTCAGAGGTCTGGTTGCATCCATGTGGCTTTGTCTTCTATAGAGGGAGAGGGAAGGGGAAGGGGAGGGAGAGGGAGAGATTAGGTGACTACCACACATAGCTTTGGGGGAAAAATATGTTTTTTGGGGGGTACCCCCTTGAGTTTCTATTTTGACTCCCTTTTTTGTTACATTAATTTTTAATGCCTTTGTATTTATATCAACAAAACTTATATTCCCACTTTGGTAATTTCTCTCTAGAATTCTTTTAATTGTCTACAAGTTAGCTGTTTTACTCTAATTTTTGGGACCTTTTAGGGCCTGAAGTTTTTAAACTTTTATGCCAATGGTTAAGATTTTTTGGTAAACATATTTCCTTTGTATTAGTATCTCTTGCCACATCATTCTGTATATCCTTGTATTTAATAAGTGCATGCTGAGTAGTTTTTAAATTATTATTACAATTAAGTCTATTACTCAGGTGCTCTCATCAGATGTTCCTTCAGCAACAGAAACTGAGGAGGAAGATGATGGGATGAATGACATGAACCAGGAGGTTATGTCATTAATATGGAGTGAAGATTTAAGGGTGCAGGACGTGAGAAGACTTCTTCAAAGTGCACATCCTGTCCGTGTCAACGTCGTGCAGTACCCAGAGCTCAGTGACCACGAGTTCATTGAAGAAAAGGAAAACAGGTAAAGGAGAATACTGTTTGCTCTCTCAAGTATAGTCAAGTGTCTCTTTCGCTAGGGACTTACTTAGGGTTCATCTTTAACATTTTTAACATTTGGTAACTCTAAAAAGATACTTTAAAGTTAAAATATGTCATGTGTTTTAAATTTTTATTAGCTTCAGTAAACCTTACATGTTTTCAAGGTCTATTTATTTGACGATACACACGCATATATCTGATATATAAAGCTGGTAGCCCTATAAAACATAGCTATCATCTACAAAAGTATGTATGTAAAACGTAAAAACAGTATCAAGACTGAGACTTGCTTTCCTTCCTCACATAGAAGCGGTGGAAGTAGCACTTCGGAAGCCATATTGGCAAGTGATGGGAGATGTATTGAGAGACTTAGACTGAATATAGCAGCATTTTTGTTTCAACACTTCGGTAGAGTTAGGAACACTTCTGGCTTGATTGATTATGTATTGGGCTGCTAACTGCTAGGTCAACATTTCAAACCCACTATCAGAAGGACGAGGTTTTCCATTTCCATAAAATTTATAGCCTTGGAAACCATAGGAGCATTTCTGCTCTCTCCTATAGTTTGCTGTAAGTCAGAATCAACTCCATGCATGGGGGCTTGAGGGAGTTTTAGGGGAGAGTTGGCATGGTTTATAGATCAGCTTAGTTTGCATTGAAAGCAAATATGAATCCAAACAGGAAATGTGCCCTCCCCCAACCCACCAGTCTGTCGTGGGAGGTGAAAACAGCTGTGATGGATGGCACACCACATCTTTGTGGGGTTTACTTTGAGCTCTCTTCACCGTCCATAACCTACCTTTTTTGGAAATATTTGCCTATAGATTGCATCTTAATTATGTTTGGCATTGAAATTTTTCCACGTTGATTTTTATTTTACTTACAGATTGCTCCAGTTGTGTCAGAGAACGATGGCCCTCCCAGTAGGAAGAGGAATGTTTACCTTGTTTTCATACCATCCTGTTCCAACAGAGCCATTGCCGATTCCTAAATTGAATCTGACTGGTATGTTAAATTCTGGGATCAGTGGGGATGGACAGTGATAAGTACTTGTCTAACAGAATTCTTGTGAATTCTTTTGTTCACTCCAAATAAATGCTTCTTCTATCTCAAGCGATTTTAATTGTTATTAATAGCTACCTTAGTATTTTATCAAAGTATAGTAAACTAAACAATTAGTGAAATAGAATATAATTCATTACTAATTTTTGTAGCTGATAAGAAAAGATAAGATAAGAAAAGACAGTCTTTAATTTTTAGAAAGGTAATATACTAAGTGAGATTATGTAACATTAGATAATCTTAAAATCAGTAAAAATATTTAGTCCTAAAATGTAAAATGTTTAGTCCTGAATTCTGCTCATGGTACAAATGCAAAAATATATACAATCAAAAAAGAAACAAAACATAGTTAATTATTATAGTCTTGCTCTCCAGAGTTTATTACCATTAACATTTTGGTGTATTTGTTTCCCAGTTTTATTTCTACATAGTCAAAATTTTATATATGCAAAATTATCAGAAAAGTTGTATCTGTTTTGTAAACTTAAACTTTTTTACTATATAGTGAGCATCCTTCCATATCTACCATAGTCAAGTATTCAAACATGTATGTATACACATATTTTTAATATATCTGAATTTTTAATCAAAAACTTTTTTATAGATCTTGGGTATTTAATTCAATGGTTATGCCATAATTATACAAGCAACATGTTATTGTTGGAAATTCTAATTTTTTGCTCTTATAAAAACTGTTTGGGCATATTCATTTAGGATCCAAGCTAAGACCTTGAGGTCTGTGATCCACCTTGAGTTTATTTTTCTGCATGGGGAGGGTTTTGCGATCAGAGAGACAATAAAGTCAGGCTTGGCCCTTGCACCCATTTGTTACAGAACCATTCCCACACCTAGTTCCTTCATGTTTTCATATAAGCCATCTTTCTATGAGCTGCTGAATGATGGCTATGATGTGCCACATTTTCTTTCTTTTTTTTTTTTAAAGTAAAAGATCATTTCATTGGGGGCTCTTACAACTCTTATTACAATCCATACATCCATTGCAGCAAGCCTATTTGTACATCTGTTGGCGTCATTCTTTTCTAGACAGTTACTTTCTTTTTTTAACATTTTATTAGGGGCTCATACAACTGTTATCCCAATCCATACACACATCAATTGTGTAAAGCGCATTTGTACATCGTTTCTCAAAACATTTTCTCTCCATTTAAACCCCCGGCATTAGGTCCTCATTTTTCCCCTCCCTCCCCGCTCCCCCCTCCCGCATGAGCCCTTGATAGTTTATAAATGGGTATTTTGTCATATCTTGCCCTGTCCTACGTCTCCCTTCATCCACTTTTCGGTTGTCTGTCCCCCAGGGAGGAGGTCACACACAGTTCCATGTAATCGGTTCCCTCTTTCCTACCCTTTCTCCCTTTACCCTCCCTGTTTTGCCACTCACACCACTAGTCCTATAGGGCTCATCCATCCTGGATTCCCTGTATTTTCAGTTCCTATCTGTGCCAGTGTACCTCTTCTGGTCTAGCCAGACTTGCAAGATCGAATTCGAGTCATGGTAGTGGGAGCAGGGAGGAAACATTTAGGAACTAGAGGAAAGTTGTATTTCTCATCATTGTTACATCGCACCCTGACTGGCTCATCTCCTCCCCGAGACCCCTCTGCAAGGGGATCTCCAGGTGCCACATTTTCTTAAGAGAAATCCTTAACTCACTTTTATGTGATCTATTGCATTTGGATGTATTTTTAGTCTTAGGGAAAACATTTTTGCTTTGTCCTTTGACTTTCATTTTTATATGTCCACGTTATGTCTTATACACATGAACAAGTCTTTTGGAAGGATGCCTTATTCTTTAGCCCACAAAGCAAATGATGAAGACAAACATCTTTTCAATTTGTTCTTACATGTACATCATTGTACGTGCATAGGAGTGAGTGGATATGTGTGCATCCTTCTGCCTTCCAGTTCATTCCTGTTCATTGCAACTCAAAGTATGCTTTTGAAGGCTATAAATCTTTAGAGAAGTAGACCATATCATTTTTCTTCCATGTGTGTTATACCTACTATAAATTAAGACATACATCTATGTAAAATGTAGTTTACATTACTTTCAGAATGCCTTAAAAACTTTATTTCAAAAACCTTGCGTGAACTGGATAACTTTTCAATAATTGGAATATCTATTTTAAATGTTTTTCAATGAGATATTCAAAATATAAAAAGGATTCAGTATTTTTCTGTACTCCCTACATAGGCCTGTACCACAGTAAATAGAACAAAAAGGAATTCAAAGCGAACACAGCATTATGAACTTATATTTATTTTGTTTTTATTTATATTGCTGCTAAACACTTTTTTTTATTCACTGGGTAGCTCAAGTCTGTAAGAGGATGCTATTTCTAAATGCTGGCTGAATTTTTATTTTACAAAAGCATGTAATTAATTACACTCACAGCAGATTTATAAAGGCCCTTATCTCCATTTTAGAATGCCATTTTCCCTTAATATGCAGAGATATTTACAGGGAGGCACACTGGAAATTCACATCACTGTAATTAATCTTGTGTTAGAATTTATATTCATGTAGCATAACTGATATTAACTTTAATTTTGGTTTCTATTTAAACTTCCCTGCTGCACAGAAGAAAGATTGGATTTCAAGGCAATAGACATTTTAGCCAACTATGTATAAATTTACATTTGGATCCATTATCTTATTATTGTCACGTGCATTGTAGTAGAAAGGGCAACGAACAATTTAAACAATTGGGTTTTTTCCCCCACTTTATGTAAGATTTTGTTTTGCTGCATAGGGCGAGCCCCTCCTCGGAATACAACAGTGGACCTAAACAGTGGCAACATCGATGTGCCTCCCAATATGACAAGCTGGGCCAGCTTCCACAATGGTGTGGCTGCCGGCCTGAAGATAGCCCCTGCCTCCCAGATCGACTCAGCCTGGATCGTTTACAATAAGCCCAAGCATGCTGAGCTAGCCAATGAGTATGCGGGCTTTCTCATGGCCCTCGGTCTGAATGGGCACCTCACCAAGCTGGCCACTCTCAACATACATGACTACCTGACCAAGGTGAGGACTTGGGCTCCCAGTTACTGCTGTTGTGTTATCTGGACTTTGGCAGTAGCTCCTCATTGCCCTACCTGTTGCTAGCTCTTCATTCTAAAATCAATAAATCCATTCTGCTTACAGTGGCAGTGTGGTCTTTCTAAGATTTGTTGGAAAGGTGTTTTTTTTTGCATTCAGTTGTTGATAATCAGTCATACACATGAGACTTTATTTCTGGATAACCTCAAATCCATTTACATGCTCATTCTTCATCCTAAAAACTCTGTCACCCCCTAAACTGGAGTGCCCCCTCCTAACACTCTTTTCTTGGCTAATTTATATTCATCCTACTGGTTCTGTTGTGAACTCCACTTCTCTCCAGAGTCTTTTCCTAACCATCTCTAGCCCCAATTATCCTAATGAGGCTACTTTTAAAAACTTTTTTTAATGCTTTTTTATAATGTTTACAAAAACCAAAAAAAGTACTGTGTATACATTTTGCCATTTTAATTGTTTTAGAAAATACAATTCAGTTACATCAATTATACATTGTGTAACCTTCCCCACTCTCAATTTCCAAATGCTTTCATGTCCCTAAACAGGAACTCAGCATCCTTTCTTTAAGCATTAACTCCCAGTTTTCCCTCTTACACCCTCTCCACCCACAGTTGCTGGTAGCCACTGGTAAAGTTCTGTGCATTTGTCTATTCTAGATATTTCATATAGATATCTTTTGTCTGGTAAACTGGCTGATTTCACTTAGCACCATCTTTTTCAAGGTTCAGTCATTTCTCTTGATGGGTGTGAATAATTATTTAATTCTATACATTTGAATATCCATCGATAGCTCTTTAGCTTTTATCCGCCTTAGGGTATTAGGTATGCAGTGGTGTGGTGAACACTGCTGTACAGTATTATAGCACTTTTCAATAGCAAATTTGTGTACTTTTAGTTTAACACTTGCCCTTCCAATGAGGGCACCAACTTCATGATTATAAATATTGTTGTGTAGTTTACCCCTGTAGACTTGATGTTTCTTACTGTGTCTGTCACATAAAAGTACTTATTGTAAGTGGCAGGTGGTAGTTTATTTAAAACTTTGGCTTTGTTTTAGTAGTGACTTGACAGTTTTATTCTGTTTTCTATTGTAGGGCCATGAAATGACGAGCATTGGATTGCTCCTTGGTGTCTCTGCTGCTAAACTAGGCACTATGGATATGTCAGTTACTCGACTTCTTAGCATCCACATTCCTGCTCTCCTGCCCCCAACTTCCACGGAACTCGATGTCCCTCACAATGTCCAAGTGGCTGCAGTGGTTGGCATTGGCCTTGTGTATCAAGGGACAGCTCACAGGCACACAGCAGAAGTCCTGTTGGCTGAAATAGGTATGTCTCTAAGAGTGCTGTATCTTTCTAAACAGACCAAAGTAAGAATGATAGCATTAAAAATTCATGGGAAAACGATAGCTGTGTGGGAACAGTATAACCTGGTGCTAATAAGAAAACTACAAGGCTAATTTTTAACCAGGCTAACAATCCTGTGTGGATTATTAGCAGGTGTTTATTTGGCCTCCAGTGGTCACATTTAATGAGACAGTGTATCTGGGGAGCTGGAGGGTTGTAACGGGTTAAGCTCCTGTTCACTAAGTAAAAGGTTGGCGCTCCACAGGGAGAAAGACCTGGCAATCTGCGCCCATGAAGATGACAGCCAGGAGAAGGCGTCTCTGTGCTGGACGGCGCCAGGAGTGAGTCGCTGGCACATAGCAACATGGTCCTAATCACATAGGCTTATGCTCCCTTCCCCCTAGACTTTACCAGGCATGTCTAGGAAGGAGGCCACGCTTAAACGCAAAGTTGATTCTTTGGGTCCCTAATCACCTAGTGCTTGCTCTGTTGGACAACAACAGCACTTCCAGTAGAACGGGATGGTGCCTCCTGCTCTCCTCCTTCACATGCTAGCGGCTGTGTTAGTGGTAAACTTAAATGAACTCTCTTCATTTAATATTTTCTAGCTTCTTAACTGAGTACAAACCACAGAAATCTATTTTGTGTCGTATCTTCTTTTTCTCATTACTGGAAGTACTGTTGGTAATTTAGTTTGTTCACAATTGAGGTACATGTATTACCTATACTCTTCTGACCTGTTCAGGGTCTTTTCTACATGCATTTCAGGATATATGCTTGTTGAAGATGTGCTAGTCTTCAGTCTGACTGTATTAGTTGTTATTACCACAGTACTGCTGCCCACAACATTTCAATGGTGCAGTCATCTTAGCCTGATGTCTCTGTGTTGGCTGTGTCAGCTCTGCCTGAGGCTGCAGATTTTGAGTCTGCTGCCATGGCTCTGCTCTATATGCTTTGTTTGGGGGCCTACAATAGTGATAATGGGGTGTAATGATGTAAGCAGGTAAGGGGTGTCATGGGGAGGAGGACCAAGTAAGGAAGCATATTTCAGGCTTGTGCTTACTTTCTGCTGGCGGAGAGCCCTCCTAAGAGCCAGTCGCAGAGCCAGGTTCACTAGGAGCCCAAGTCATGGGTGTGGATGTAACTGCCACTGTGGGACAGTAGATCAACCATGATGGTAACTTAGACCCCAAACCACAGTGTTTCTGTTACCAACATATGGCACCTTTATAATGTTCCTTGTATCTTGTGAAACCTCTTATTCACGACATACTTAAGATTGATTGTTTAAAGTATATTTGCTTACAGGGGACTTCAGCATCCTTGGCTGTAATATAATGTTATCTGATGATACCACATATTTCACAGCCATCCCACAGCATTTTCATATTATACATAGAAGATCTCCTCTTTGATGCATATGCTTTTGTATAGTGATAGAGTATACACATCCTGTATTCTGCCTTTTTTATATATCATTGTCGTAAGTGGTTTTAAAAATGGATTTTGTATAGCATCTCATTGAGTTAATGGGTACTATAAATTGTGCAACTACTTTATTTTCAGGTCTTAGGTTGTTTTGGGGCTTTTTAATTATGCCTTTGCTATTATATGTAAACTTGGATTATCTTTGTGTAATTTCTTTTATAAAAATATGAATTTTGCTTCCAACAAAACTTTTAGGATTACTGTATATAAAGAAACCTTATTCAGTAGTGTTTAGTATTATATAGATTCAGAACAACACTTAACAGTTTAAAAACATCAAGGAAATTTTCTTCCTTTATACCACTAGTATTTGAACATGTTTCACTGCTTCTAATGAATGAGTTTGAAAATAAGGAAATGTAAGCAAAGTGCATGAGATTAAAAGTAAATCATTTTTTGTATTGAACACCCCTCCTATTAAGACTTTTTAATACTTTTTGCTAATATTAAAAATATAAAACCCAGGTTTCACAGTGTGCTAAAGCCATTACTTATAGACACCCACATTTGCAAATAAAAAGAACTGCTTGGGAGTTTTATTTAGTAGTGAGCTGACAGTTGGGGACACTGTGAGGCAGGCCTTGCTTTCTGATGGACACTGTTGGTGAGGCAGGCCTAGCTTTCTGAGTGGAATTACATTGAATGTGTAGGTTTTATGTAACCTTCTAGAAAGTTAACTACTTGAACATATTTTAGTGAGGATTTCAAGAGCATAGCTTGAACCCCATTGCTTTCTCTTCGACAGGCCGGCCCCCTGGTCCTGAGATGGAGTACTGTACGGACAGGGAGTCCTACTCGTTAGCTGCTGGCCTGGCCCTGGGCATGGTTTGCTTGGGGGTGAGTGCCTTCAGATGCTTCGTTTACAAGATTGTTGTGCTCACAGGAAACAGTGAACCTTAAGTTCATACTCAGCACGCCGGTTGTGAATGTTTTTCAAAGTTCTACATTTGGGAATGAAGAGAAACTTTAGTGGAAAAATGGGCTGTTAAAATATTTCTTCCTCCCAATGAAAATAAGTGTTTATGATGAACTAAGGGATTGAAGTTCCTTGGAAAGGGTTTGAGAAATAGAAGAAGAAGTGAATATCAGAATATTAGTAAGAATAAGGCAACTATATACGAGGGAAACAGAAAATAATGCATGGTGGAGAGCCTTAAGAGTTTGTAGTGGGTGCTAGAGAGAGGCCCAAACCCTCTTCTGTTGCCCCGCTGGTCACTGTCCCCAGAACAGCATTGCTCTGTGACAGAATGCAGGAAATGGCCCATCTGAGAAGCTAGTCCAGAATTGCCAAGAGATGTCATTAGGTGACTATTTAAACTGGGTTATGGGGCCCTGGAAGAACCACCAAAATAGTGTTATGGATAAGCCAAATTACATAAAGTTGTAATGCAATGAACTCTTTCTGATGTGCATGCCGAAAATCCACTCCATATTTGAAGAGAAGTTAGGAGCTTTGCTCTTCACATTTGCTGGTGGATAAATGGAAAAGCTTCATACTGGTAATTGGACCCTGGACTCTGGTTCTGCCTCTCTGATTGAGTCATGTTAATTCAATCACAAAGAACTATAGTTTCCTCATCTATAAAAAAGACAATTAGATACAGTTGCATTATGGTGACGTAACCATAGACCATGAAACCAGCCTGCCTTGATTTATATCCAACCCTGCTCTTACTAAGCTGTGTAACCTTAGGCAAGTTATCATAATCCTTCTTTCCCTCCAATTCTTCGTCTGTAAAATGGGGTTCTTGCTAGTGTTTATTTGATAGGGTCGTATTGAGTACAATAATTCATGTAAAAGGTACAGAATGATGTGCGGTGCAGCGTAAACATTCATTAAGTTCTTATTGTTACTGGAAAAGGTCACAGATGCAGTAATGCAAGGATTCAGATGTTTCTAACTTTTAGTTACAGAAGAATTATTTTATTAAATGAAACGAGCTTTTATCTATTTTGAAGATTTTGTTTTATGAAAGTACTAGGCCATGTATTAGAATTTTAATGAAAATTATGAGTGATGTTAACTTATTTGTAATAGCTGCTTTCATAGGGAAAGGAAGGGACCTAGCTTTGATGCTAGTTCAGTCCTTTAACTTCTGGGTGTGTCTGGTGGGTCTCCTTTTTTGTGTTTTTAATTAAAAGACCATTTTATTGGGTGCTCTTACAACTCTTGTTATAACCATACATTGATTGCATCAGGTATGTTTGTACATATGTAGCCTTCATTCTTTTCTAGACATTTACTTTCTATTGAGCCCTTGGTATCAGCTCCTCTTTTTATTCCTCCCTCCTGCCATGGCCCCTTGATAGATTGTAAATTATTATTATTTCCATATCTCACACCGACGACCGCTGTCTCCCTTCCCCCATGTATTCTGTTGTTATTCACTCTGGTGAGGGGTGTATGGTTGTATGTTGATCATTGTGAACAGTTCCCCCTTTCTCCCTTCCTCTCCCCCTCTTCCCCCTACCCTTCTGGTATCACTATTCCCCCTCCTGTTCCTGGATTCCGTGCGTCTGTTATCTATCTATACCTGTGTACATGCTCTGGTCTAGTCTGATTTGAAAAGCTGCACTGGGGTCATGATAGTGGGGGGTGAGGAAGCCTCAAGGAACCAGAGGAATGTTGTGTTTTGTGATGGTTCTGCTTTCCCAAGATTTCCTTTAACGGATGTGTGTTATTTTGTCTTCAAGCATGGCAGCAATTTGATAGGCATGTCTGATCTCAATGTGCCTGAGCAGCTTTATCAGTACATGGTTGGAGGCCACAGGCGCTTTCAAGCAGGGATGCACAGGGAGAAGCATAAATCCCCAAGTTATCAAATCAAAGTAAGTCCAACTCTGAAGCTAAGATGTTAATTTAAAAATAATAGATTTTCATTCTAACATTTTTAAGTATGCTAATTTGAAACAGACTAATATTCAGAAGAATTGTATAAGAACTGTTTGACATGAATCAGTGTCTTTTTTGGTAGGAAGGAGACACCATCAATGTGGATGTGACTTGTCCAGGTGCTACTCTGGCATTGGCTATGATCTACCTAAAAACCAATAACAGGTATGTGCATTCCTTGCTTCCCTCAGGCCAGTATGAAATCATTCCTGAGCTCACTTGTAAAATTAGCTAATGTGTTTATTGCTATTGAACTATATCAGCCTGATCTTCATTCTCACAAAGACTGTAACAACACAGATTTTATCTAGAAGTAATACATTTTTCTGCCTTAATAGTTATTGACAATATAATTGCCAGGTTCTGTTTGCTTCTGTTTCTTTAGTTGATACTACTTACGTGCAAGCAGTACCCAAGTTGTATTTCATTCACTTCACATATCCTACTAGGACTAATGAAGCCTGAAACCCCCTTCTTCTGTTCTCGGTTTTTGTTTATAAAATTGGCATTGGTTTAGTTCAGCAGCTGTGTTACTGACTGACCCTTCCTTCTACGCTTGCAGCCCCATAATTGGTGCCCACACTTGAGAGTAGCTCTTAGGCATTTGTTCTGTCCTTTTGCATGACCTAGAAACATTACACCATGCTTAAGTCTTTTCATTTAAAAAATGTTTTAAGGTTTAAAGAAATTTCTTTTTTTTAATTTATTTTTTAAATCATTTTATTAGGGGCTCATACAACTCTTATCACAATCCATACAGACATCAATTGTGTAAAGCACACTTGTACATTCACTGCCCTCATCATTCTCACGACATTTACTCTCCACTTAAGCCCCTGGCATCAGGTCCTCTTTTTTCCCCCTCCCTCCCCGCTCCCCACTCCCTCATGAACCCTTGGTAATTTACAAATTATTATTTTGTCATATCTTGCGATTTAAAGAAGTTTCTCAGTGTTTTCCTACCTTCCTTAATAAAGAAAACATATGCCAAGTTAGCAAAGTGGTTAAAAACAAGTCTTTATTTATCCAGTATTTGGATGAGTGTGAACGTTGGCACTGGGGCAGGTCTGTGAAGAAACAAACCCAACCAGCCCTGCCTCTGTGGACTTGCAGACTGCAGGTCAGGTCTTGTGTAAAGTGCCATGGGGAGCAGAGCCGGGCTGGAGCAGGGAGAAGTGTTTGGACAACTGCTTGAGATTCTGGATTCTGCCACTTGAGTGAAAATGCATCCTGCTACCCTGTGTCAACAGATCCATTGCAGATTGGCTGCGAGCTCCTGACACCATGTACTTGCTGGACTTTGTGAAACCAGAATTTCTCTTGCTTAGGGTAATGGTGCTTTCTAATTTTGCATTTCCTTTAACATAAGTATGCTCTCAAGTGATTCTCATATTGCGCTTGCAAAAATGCATGGACATTTAGTCTGTTTCTACTTTTGGCAATGGCCTTTGGTGTCTAAGTGGCCATGGTCTTGTGAAATGACCAGTTTTGACATTTCTCACACGTCACATTAGGAACTGTAGCCACATTGATATGTAGTACTCAAACTGACATTTCAGTTTCTGACATTAATACTCAGAACATCTTAATAATCAACATGTAACTAGGACTTTATTACTGCTTTATTTACGTTCTTAGTTCATCACTAAGATGCATGCTTCTCTATTCTCCCATACAAATTGCCTACACACGTCTTCCGTCCCATGTAATTTGGGGGAACACATAGTATAATCAATGGCACTGATGGTTTGACATAGTTGCTTAATAATTACCCCCACTTTCAAGTATTGCCTTTTTTTCTAACACCTTTTCTGTTTTTAGCATATGGAAACATTTAAATTATGTTGTAATCAGAGTTATGAATCTTTTCTTGGTAATTGTCTTTTTATATAGTAAGTTTAAAAAGAACTTTTATACCTCTTTCAAACCTTGATGATGATCGACCTTATTCTAGTTTTCCTATGTTAAACTCTAAATCTGTATTTTAATGAGTAGATTGGGTGGATATTTTGTGCTTACTGTATTTTTCACAATTGCCATTAGTGGGACACTGATTTAAAATTATTTAGTAGTCATATTACAAAGTCTGTGTTCTTTAATAAATTTTATCTGTATTGCATTTTAAGACACTTGCCCGATGCCTGATTTTGTGGGATGATATTTTACCAAATTCCAAGTGGGTTGATAGCAATGTTCCTCAGGTAAGTATGAAGTAAATATCATTCCAGCTTTAATAGCATAAAATGACCATTTCTTGTGGGATGTTGCTAACCCTATGTTTTCTTATGGAAGGAATATTGAAGGGGTCCTGTTTTTAAAAAAAATAATTTTATTGGGGGCTCGTACAACTCTTAACATAATCCATTCATCCATCCATTGTGTGAAGCACATTTGTATATTTGTTGCCATCATCATTCTCAGAACATTTTCTTTCTGCTTGAGCCCTTGGTCTCAGCTCCTCATGTTCCCCCCTCCCTCCCCCCACCCTCCTCCTCTCACAAACCTTTTATAATATATAAATTATTGTTATTTTGCCATGGCTTACACTGTCCAATGTTTCCCTTTACCCACTTTTCTGTTTCCTGTCCCTATGGTCCTCTCTGTGCTTTGGCTGCCCTGAACAGGAATATCATCCTCAGGGCTTTGAGGGCCAGGATGTGCTCCACTCTCTCTTCCCCTCTTTGAAGGGGCCCTATTGACGCAATGGTGAAACATTCAGCAAGGTCAGGCAGTTCAAATGCACCAGCTACTCCCCAGGACAAAGGTGTAGCAATGTGCCCTGCTGTATAGCTTTACAGCAGCCATAGAAACCTTACAGGGGCAATTCTAGGGCCACAATGAGTCAGAATTGACTTCACGGCATTGGGGTGTGGTATATTTAATTTTTGTAATCTATGATCCAGGAGTTTGCTGGGGTCAAGAGGGAAGGGCATAGCTTATAGGTGGCATATGATCTTAAAATAAAAGTTCTTGTGTCTAAATAATTTATAAATTATCAAGGGCACATGAGGGAGCGGGGAGCGGGGAGGGAGAGGAAAATGAGGACCTAATGCTGGGAGTTTAAGTGGAGAGAAAATGTGTTGAGAATGATGAGGGCAGTGAATGTACAAATGTGCTTTACACAATTGATGTATGTATGGATTGTGATAAGAGTTGTATAAGCCCCTAATAAAATGATTTTTAAAAAATTGCAAAACTGGAAAAAAAAAAAAAAAGGTTCTTGTGTCTTCAAGAGATACCGTAACCTCTCCCAACCCCCAGAACAAATAAACCCCAACTCACTGCCATTTGCATTGATGCTGACTCAGCAACCCTGTAGGACAGGGTAGAATTGCTCCATGTGGTTTTCTGGGCCTGTGACTCCTTTTTTTTCTCCAACAGTTTTATTGATATATAATTCACATATCATGCAATGCGATAGTTCAGTCATATCAATCAAGAAGAATCTTTCTCTCACAGTGGCTTGTTGTTTCAAACCAGTGACCTTTCAGTTAGCAGCCCAGTGTGTAACCAGTATGCTATGAGGGCTCCTCTGTAGTGGTTTTGCAGTATTTCTTAATTTTATTAGAAGGGCATTCTGAAATTTTATTTTACTGAGTGCATGTTTAGAACATAACAGAGCTGTTTTATTTTCCTTTCGTAAAGAGAAAGGTATCAGATCCATTCTTGGGTGGTAAAGCCAGGCAATCTGTAATGTGATTTTATTTAAAAAATCATTTTATTGGGAGCGCATGCAACTCTTATCACAATCCATACATACATCCATTGTATGTCAAGCACATTTGTACATTTGTTTCCCTCATCATTCCAAAACATTTGCTTTCTACTTGAGCCCTTGGCTCTGTGTATGATTTTTGATAAGTTGTTCACTGCTTCTACTAAAAGGAAAGTGATACCATTTGAAACAATAGTTGTAGGTTTAACTTGGAAAATTAAGGCTTCACCGCTCACCTCTGATAGGTAGGAGGCTCAATGCTAAAAACAGTCCATGAATAAGAAGTGTAAGTCTAACTAGTGTTCTCTCCAATTGTAATTTTCCCCTTCCCACTGCTTCTATTCATTCATGCCACACCCTAATATAGCCATTAGCTTGTACTTTAGTTGACTAGTTGACTGTTATTACACTGTTATTAAGTGTTCTAGTTTATAGTTATTTAGTCTCATTCAGTTATTGTTTATATATGGCCTATCTTAGATTTGCAATTTGATTGCATTTAATGCAATAACAAATAGTCATTTCAAAGAATGAAATGATTTGGGAGTGCCAGTTTTATAGAAGATGACGGTGATAGGAATTCTGGTGGTGAAATGGGTTACACAACCAAAAGGTTTGCAGTTCAAAACCACCAGCTGCTCCACTGGAGAAAGATGAGGCTTTCTACTCCTATGAAGAGTTCCAGTCTCGGAAACCCACAGGGGCAGTCTATAGAGTTGCGGTGAGTTGAAATTGACTCAATGGCAGCAAGTATGTACTTTTAAGCATGGATGTCAAAAGCAATGGTGTTGCTGTCCAGATTATTAAATACTTGTAACCTGAATATTAATGTCCACATTTTTTGCTTGGTTTCTTGGCAGATTATCAGAGAAAATAGTATCTCTCTCAGTGAAATTGAATTACCTTGCTCTGAGGATTTGAATCTGGAAACTTTGTCGTAAGTAATACAATGTATAATACAAATGTGCTGTCTTTAGTGCCATCTGATACGTTTAGTGAACTGTTTAGGAATAATATTTCCTTGGTTTGGATTCTGAATCCTGAAATTTTCCTAATCACTATTTATCAAGTGTTTACAGGGTCTTTTATTTTATTTTTAGCTTTGTGAATTGGATTGTAGAACTCTTGCCCTCAAGAAATAATATTGAAAATTCATGAATTTGTACATGCTCCTCCTTTATCCTTTCCTTTCTCATTTTTTCTCTAGTAACTTAGCAGTGACTTTTTAAAAATTATCTCTTGCTACATATGAAATAGCACGGGCAAAAGTAAACTGTCAGTAAAAGCCATGGAGTGTATGTGCTGAAGAAATTATTCAGAAACCTGCAGATTTAATACAGACTCAACTAAACATTCCCAGAGAGATATAAACTGGATTTGCAACAGAAATTTTTTGCTATTTTTATCTCAAGATAGTAGATAATAGTGAGTTTTAAAAAGCAAACTAATGACAACATTAACTTTTGTCATCTGTTTTCAGGCAAGCACATGTCTACATAATCGCCGGGGCTTGTTTGTCTCTGGGTTTCCGATTTGCTGGCTCAGAAAACTTATCAGCCTTTAACTGTTTGGTAAGAAGTATCACATTTTATTCTGTTCTTTTTTAAAACAAAGTCTTAAGACTCTTCTTTTAACTGTGAATTTTTTCTTTTGTTTTTCCAGCATAAATTTGCAAAAGATTTTATGACTTATTTGTCTGCACCTAATGCTTCTGTAGTAAGTCATTTTATGATTTTTCTTTGGAATGAAATGAAGCAATGAAAATTTACCAATGCACCTATTACTTATGTGTCTCAAAAAGCTGCCATTTGTTTGACTTTAGAATGGGAGATTTGAAGCCTTTTGTGGTTGTTCTCAGGTGTTAATTAGAGGGTGATATGGTTACTGTTAAAGAATGCACAGTATCTAATTCTGTGATAAGAAGAAGGCCATAACCTTCGTGGATTGTCATAGCCCATATACTCTTTCTCAGTACTGAAATTCATAAACTTTTGGGGAAATTAGTTCTTAGTAAAGACACTCAAACAAACAAACACACCCCTCATTGCCATTCAGTCGATTCCAACTCACATAACCCTATCGATAGGGCAGGTTAGAACTGCCCCTGTGAGTTTCTGAAACTGCAACTCTTAACAGGAGTAGAGTGCCTCATCTTTAACCCATTGTATTAGTCTGGGTACTTGGAGAACCAAATCCACAGCAACTCATGTATAAGAGAGAGTTTTATGTAAAGAAAATGTGCATCATGAAAACATCCCAACCCAATGCTGCCCAAGCCCACAAGTCCAACATTAACCCAATAACCCAACACCAGTCCACAAAGTCCTCCACCTCACAAAACAGAGGCAATGATGCCGACTGCAGGAGGAAAGCTGAGTCAGTGAATGAATAAGCATCTCAGCACTAGCAGGGGTCTCCACACGGCTGCTCCAGCACCCAGGGCTGCATCGGGATAGGTCCGTGTAGCTTCTCCTTGGGGATGTCTTGTATGAAGCACTAGCAGGGCTCTCTACACGGCTGCTCCAGCACCCAGAGCTGCATCAGGATATGTCCATGTAGCTTCTCCTTGGGGATGTCTTGTAGGAAGTCAATCTTGCAAGCTGAAGCAGGGAACTGCTAAGGCAGCTGCACCCTGGTACGACCATCACAAAGCAAGAGACCCGAGAACTAGAAAGGCGAGGCTTCACCACCCATTTATCCCTCTGCCTTTCAACCAGCCCCATATGTGATTATCGGCCAGGCTGGCACGATTAACTAACTCACCCATGCAGCAGCTGGTGGTTTCGAACTGGTTTCGAACTACCGACCTTGTGGTTAGCAGCCTCATGCATAACCACGACATTACCAGGGCTCCTAGTACAGAAACTGTTAGCCTTTTTCCTCCTCAGTTGTTTTTGAGGCAGTGCTGCTTTGATGAAGGAAAGACTGCATGATTTAGTTTTCTAGTGAAAACCACATAGGTTTATGTAACATTTAAAAAAATATGGAACAATCGAAAACATTGCCAAGTTTAACTTCAGCTAAATAAAATAAAATAGATTGTAGCGCACCAATACGTTGCTACATATTGAAGCTACCAAGATCATGTGCAAGGATTTTTTTATGAGTGAAGATTGCATGTAGTAAATATAAGATTAAGAAATACTTTGTATACTAATAGCTCAATGTTCTTTAAAATAAAGATACTTAGATAAAAACATTTGGGGACAAAAGGTTAATGGTGTTTTGTGTGTGTTTTTTTTTTAGTGGGAGACGCTAAATGATTATTATTTCCTCTTAGATACTTTCTTTTCTGAGTATTCTATATGAACATTTATGTCATAATCAGAGAAAATAAATTTGCTTACAGATTTTTTTAAGTCACAGTATTTGAGGCTTTCTAAACCCATCAGTAAGTCATAAGTCTTCTAATGATGGCCTTACACGGCTCCAAATACTGTGACTTCAAACAAAGATTGCAACAAATTGTTTTTTGTGATTATGACATACATGTTCATGTAGGAAACTCAGAAAGGTACCAAAAACGAAATAATAATCACTTGGAATCTCCCACTGGGGGGGTGGGGGGTGGAATCACTGTTAGCACTTTGTCCCTGGATCCTAGGAGTCCTGGTGACTAGTGGGGTACGTGTGAGACCGTAGGTCAGCGCTTTGAACCCACAAGCTGCGAAGCGGAGAAAGATGGGGCCTTCTGTTCCCATAGCGTTAGCAGCCTCGGAACCCCCCTCCGTCCTGGGGGCGCTGTGAATCGAAATGGACTCAGCAGCAGTGAGTGCATTGTAGCCTGTGCTGTTTTGATGGTAAAGAAGTTAACGCAACATTGTAATGATATCGCTTTGCATTTTAAGACAGGTCCTTACAACCTAGAAACCTGCCTGAGTGTGGTGCTGCTGTCCCTCGCCATGGTGATGGCTGGCTCCGGGAATCTGAAGGTTTTGCAGCTTTGTCGCTTCTTGCACATGAAAACAGGTGGTGAGATGAACTATGGCTTCCACTTAGCCCACCACATGGCCCTTGGGCTTCTGTTTTTGGGAGGAGGAAGGTAACTTATTAAATATTCTTTTCCTCATTGAAAAAAATGTCATGAGCAAGCCTATAACAATGAGTTATTTTGATTTTGAAAGTGTACGAAACATTTCAAATCATTCCAGCTTACCTAGTACAATTATAATGCTTTAAAGAGGCTTCTGTCTATTTTGACTGCTAGCATATGCTTTGTTCAGGAGAGGTACCACTCTCACATTCTTAGCATCACCTCATTGCTCAGGAAAGTCTGTGTTCAGACCCTCAGTGCCTCACTGCCTACTTCCCACTGTTTGATGACGATGATTACTTTTTTTTACTAAACTGCCTTCTCAAATAGTTCATGAACAACCCTAGTCACCAAGTCCTAAAATATTTTTGGTAGGTGGAATGGAGGCACAGAACAGAGATAGAATTTATCCAGGAATGTGAGGTTGAAAAGATTTAATGAGGCAGGGAAAGAACTCCAGCGAGGGAAGGGAGAGCAGAGAAAGAGACAGGAGCATCTTGAGCTCCCGGGCGGGTTCTGCGACCCAATGAGTTAGGTCAGGTTAGTCGCATCTGGTGCTAGGGTGGCAGATATATATATATATATATATTATAGGAGCTTAAAGGCATATGAGCCGGTAAGGGGAAGGGAGGTTCTTTGTGCTGTGGTTGCAAGTTTCGGGTCAGGAGATGACCTGTCAGTAAATCATCTTGTTCTCAGCCAACTTGCTTCCTGGAACGCTGGGGAGAGGAGGCTGTGTTCTGCTCGCGGAAGTAAGCATTGTGAAATGCTGGAGGCAGGTACTTTGAAGTTCAGCAGGTCATTTGTCTTCTTGGGAGGCTGGTGCAAGGGGCTGCCTGGTCTGGACCCAGCTCAAACAATTTCCTTAGCTTTCAACTCTTGCCCTCTTCTCAGCATTTGTCGTTACTGACTGCCCTGACTTTTAATGATTTGTACTGTAGCAAACACGCATACAGAAAAAGGTAGAAATTTCCGGAGTCCAGCTCAATGGACTAGCCCCAGTCTGAAAACCTCTCTCAGTTACTGTGTAGATGAAAGTAGACTCCTGCTCATGTTTAGAGCATTCTGTTTGCACTCCTGCCCGGCAGGTCCCTCCCAGTTACTACTTACTGTTCACTTGTCTTGCCCGAAGGAAGGTAGCGACTATGGGGT